TAGCGTTCTCCTGGCATCCGCCAAACCCAGATTTGTCCGTCAGACTGCCAGATGGTGAAGCGTGATTAATCACTCCAGAGTCTAATGGCGACGAGCTTTACACCACTCCAGCCGACGCTTGGCATTGCGCATGGTGACGTTGCTTCCAGAGGCAGTTTGGAACTCGGTAGTGAGTGTTGCAACCGAGGACAGCACTCGGCGGTCCCGTTCTGTGAGCTTGTGTGGCCTACCACTTCGCGGCTGAGCCGTTGTTGCTCCTAGATGTTTCCACTGCACAAATAACAGCACTTACAGTTGACTGGGGCAGCTCTAGCAGGGCAGAAATTTGATGAACTGACTTGTTGGAAAGGTGGCATCCTATGACGTTGCCATGTTAAAAGCCACAGACCACTTCTCAGTTCCTATGCTTCCTGGCTGATGTCTTGGTCACTTTTGAATGCTGGCGGTGCATGAGACGGAGTCTACAACCCACACAAGTGGCTCAGGTAGTGCAGCTCATCCAGGATGGCACATCAATGCGAGCTGTGGCAAGAAGGTTTGCTGTGTCTGTAAGCGTAGTGTCCAGAGCATGGAGGCGCTACCAGGAGACAGGCCAGTACATCAGGAGACGTGGAGGAGGCCGTCGGAGGGCAACAACCCAGCAGCAGGACCGCTACCTCCGCCTTTGTGCAAGGAGGAGCAAGAGGAGCACTGCCAGAGCCCTGCAAAATGACCTCCAGCAGGCCACAAATGTGCATGTGTCTGCTCAAACGGTCAGAAACAGACTCCATGAGGGTGGTATGAGGGCCCAACGTCCACAGGTGGGGGTTGTGCTTACAGCCCAACACCGTGGAGGACGTTTGGCATTTGCCAGAGAACACCAAGATTGGCAAATTCGCCACTGGCGCCCTGTGCTCTTCACAGATGAAAGCAGGTTCACACTGAGCACATGTGACAGACGTGACAGAGTCTGGAGACGCCATGGAGAACATTCTGCTGCCTGCAACATCCTCCAGAATGACCGGTTTGGCGGTGGTCAGTCATGGTGTTGGGGGGGAGACAATGCAAATAGTCCGGGTAGCCATTTGATTAGCTGTTCAGGAGTCGTATGGCTTGGGGGTACAAGCTGTTAAGAAGCCTTTTGGACCTAGACTTGGCGCTCCGGTACCGCTTGCCGTGCGGTAGCAGAGAGATCAGTCTATGACTAGGGTGGCTGGAGTCTTTGTCAATTTTTATGGCCTTCCTCTGACACCGCCTGGTATAGAGGTCCTGGATGGCAGGAAGCTTGGCCCCAGTGATGTACTGGGCCGTACGCACTACCCTCTGTAGTGCCTTGTGGTTGGAGGCCGAGCAGTTGCCATACCAGGCAGTGATGCAACCAGTCAGGATGCTCTCGATGGTGCAGCTGTAGAACTTTTTGAGGATCTGAGTACCCATGCCAAATCCTTTCAGTCTCCTGAGGGGAAATAGGCTTTGTCGTGCCCTCTTCATGACTGTCTTGGTGTGTTTGGACCATGATAGTTTGTTTGTGACGTGGACACCAAGGAACTTGAAGCTCTCAACCTGCTCCACTATAGCCCTGTCGATGAGAACGGGGGCGTGCTCGTCCTTATTTTCCTGTCCACAATCATATCCTTTATCTTGATCACGTTGAGGGAGAGGTTGTTGTCCTGGCACCACACAGCCAGGTCTCTGACCTCCTCTCTATAGGCTCTCTCATCGTTGTCGGTGATCAGGCCTACCACTGTTGTCATCGGCAAACTTAATGATGGTGTTGGAGTCGTGCCTGGCCATGCAGTCATGGGTGAACAGGGAGTACAGGAGGGGACTGAGCACGCACCCCTGAGGGGCCCCCGTGTTGAGGATCAGCATGGCAGATGTGTTGTTACCTACCCTTACCACATGGGGGCGGCCCGTCAGGAAGTCCAGGATCCAGTTGCAGAGGGAGGTGTTTAGTCCCAGGGTCCATAGCTTAGTGATGAGCTTTGAGGGCACTATGGTGTTGAACGCTGAGCTGTAGTCAATGAATAGCATTCTCACGTAGGTGTTCCTCTTGTCCAGGTGGGAAAGGGCAGTGTGGAGTGCAATAGAGATTGCATCATCTGTGGATCTGTTGGGGCGATATGCAAATTGGAGTGGGTCTAGGGTTTCTGGGATAATGGTGTTGATGGGAGCCATGACCAGCCTTTCAAAGCACTTCGTGGCTACAGACATGAGTGCTACGGGTCTGTAGTCATTTAGGCAGGTTACCTTAGTGTTCTTGGGCATAGGAACTATGGTGGTCTGCTTGAAACATGTTGGTTTTACAGACTCAGTCAGGGACATGTTGAAAATGTCAGTGAAGACACTTGCCATTTGGTCAGCGCATGCTCGGTGTACACATTTGGTAATCCGTCTGGCCCTGCGGCCTTGTGAATGTTTACCTGTTTAAAGGTCTTACTCACATCGGCTACGGAGAGTGTGATCACACAGTCGTCCGGAACAGCTGATGCTCTCATGCATGCTTCAGTGTTGCTTGCCTTGAAGTGATTTAGCTCGTCTGGTAGGCTCGTGTCACTGGGCAGCTCATGGCTGTGCTTCCCTTTGTAGTCTGTAATAGTTTGCAAGCCCTGCCACATCCGACGAGCGTCGGAGCCAGCGTAGTACGATTCAATCTTAGTCCTGTATTGACACTTTGCCTGTTTGGTGGTTCGTCGGAGGGCATAGCGGGATTTCTTATAAGCATTCGGGTTAGAGTCCCGCTCCTTAAAGCGGCAGAAGCCATGTAATCCATGGCTTCTGGTTGGGGTATGTACATACATGTTTTTTTTCCTCTGGTTGCACATTTAACATGCTGGTAGAAATGAGGTAAAACGGATTTAAGTTTCCCTGCATTAAAGTCCCCGGCCACTAGGAGCGCCGCCTCTGGATGAGCGTTTTCCTGTTTGCTTATGGCCTTATACAGCACATTTAGTGCAGTCTTTGTGCCAGCATCGGTTTGTGGTGGTAAAATGACAGCTACGAAAATAGTGTGGTCTACAGCTTATCATGATTTGTCTAAGGGTTGATTTCACACATTGTCTATGTAATTATTGTGGGGGTTTTTCACACCCTAGTTGAATGCACTACTTGTAATTTGCTCTGCTAACTGACAGGCAAAAGGAATAATGCAGTTTTTTCCCCCTGGAACCAGATTAAGCCTACCCCCAGACTGAAAGGCATGCTGAATAGAGAATCTCTATTGAAAGGGTCTTGGAAATACCCCTTAATGTTTATATCACTGTTATATTACTTTAGAAGTTTGTGGCCTGCCTGCAACAGTGTTTTCGTTCTACAAATGGAATATTATCATAGATTGACTGTAATGTAATGTTTGTTGCAGTGCCCGACCCCCCCAGAAACCTTCAGCTGTCATGTGACAACGGAGAGGACGGCACGGTGGAAGCCTCGTGGAGCGCTCCGGACAAAGCCCACGGCCTGATCCGGGAGTACATTGTGAGTTAGCCTGCCCAGACACTCAATGTTGTTTCCTTTGGTAAACCTATTAACCACCTCTCCATTAGTGTCATGTCCTGAGCAGTAGGGCTATAAGAAAAGATAGAAACATGCACATCCAATGGCTTTGAGCGGGTGCCTGATATCAAAGTAAATGTTCATCAGCAAAATATGAAAGACTCCACACATTCCAATGTGGGCTTATTATTAACATGAACAATGTTTCAACCCTGTTTTGCCTGGTGTGTGTGTGTGTACGTGGCCATGTGCGTGTGTGACAGGTTGAGTACAGTGAAAAAGGTGTGGAGTGGTTCTCTCAGCGAAGCACCGGCAACAGTGCGGAGGTCAAAAACCTACAGCCCAGCACTCTGTACAAGTTTAGGGTAAGATACCTGTGTCTTTCATAGCAGCTGCATAGTGACATTTGGCTTCATAACATTAGAACAAGGTAACATGAGCTCTTAGAATTGTTGAGTGGTGAACCTGTCTGATGAGTTCTAAACCTGTGTGTTTTCAGGTGGCAGCAGTGACGGGTCGAGGTATGGGGAACTGGACTGAGGTTAAATCCATCATCCCCAAGAAAGGTATGACAGAATCTTTCATGATCATTGCCTGACAATTTATAATATGGCATGATGATAGTTTGATAAATTTGACAAATTCTCTAATCCAGGGTTTCTTAAACTATGGGTCAAGACCCAAAGTTGGCCCTGGGCATGTGAGAGGTGGGTTGCAAGTTATAAGAATACATCTGTAATCACACGCTATTTATTTTTAGTTTGGGTTGTGGAGATTTGGGTCACTGGAGGATAGTACATTTCTTATTTGGGTCTTGAGCTGTAATCCTTCAGTGCATTTACTCCTCTTGTTGCATTGTGGATATTTACAGTGTTCTATCGCCCTCTGCTGGCCACCACTATGTAGTTGGCTTATTTATTGGAGCTGCTGCTTATTACATTTACATTTTAGTCATTTAGCAGACGCTCTTATCCAGAGCGACTTACAGGAGCAATTAGGGTTAAGTGCCTTGCTCAAGGGCACATTTACGTCATTTAGCAGACGCTCTTATCCAGAGCGACTACAAATTGGTGCATTCACCCTATAGCCAGTGGGATAACCACTTTACAATTATACTTTTTTTTTTTTTGGGGGGGGGGGGGTAGATGGATTACTTTATCCTATCCCAGGTGTTCCTTAAAGAGGTGGGGTTTCAAATGTCTCCGGAAGGTGGTGAGTGACTCCGCTGTCCTGGCGTCGTGAGGGAGCTTGTTCCACCATTGGGGTGCCAGAGCAGCGAACAGCTTTGACTGGGCTGAGCGGGAACTATGCTTCCGCAGAGGAAGGGGAGCCAGCAGGCCAGAGGTGGATGAACGCAATGCCCTCGCCTGGGTGTAGGGACTGATCAGAGCCTGAAGGTACGGAGGTGCCGTTCCCCTCACTGCTCCATAGGCAAGCACCATGGTCTTGTAACGGATGCGAGCTTCAACTGGAAGCCAGTGGAGTGTGCGGAGGAGGGGGGTGACGTGAGAGAACTTGGGAAGGTTGAACACCAGACGGGCTGCGGCATTCTGGATGAGTTGTAGGGGTTTAATGGCACAGGCAGGGAGCCCAGCCAACAGCGAGTTGCAGTAATCCAGACGGGAGATGACAAGTGCCTGGATTAGGACCTGTGCCGCTTCCTGTGTAAGGCAGGGTCGTACTCTCCGAATGTTGTAGAGCATGAACCTGCAGGATCGGGTCACCGCCTTGATGTTGGCGGAGAACGACAGGGTGTTGTCCAGGGTCACGCCAAGGCTCTTCGCACTCTGGGAGAAGGACACAACGGAGTTGTCAACCGTGATGGCGAGATCATGGAACGGGCAGTCCTTCCCCGGGAGGAAGAGCAGCTCCGTCTTGCCAGGGTTCAGCTTGAGGTGGTGATCCGTCATCCATACTGATATGTCGGCCAGACATGCAGAGATGCGATTCGCCACCTGGTTATCAGAAGGGGGAAAGGAGAAGATTAGTTGTGTATCGTCAGCGTAGCAATGATAGGAGAGGCCATGTGAGGATATGACAGAGCCAAGTGACTTGGTGTATAGGGAGAAAAGGAGAGGGCCTAGAACTGAGCCCTGGGGGACACCAGTGGTGAGAGCACGTGGTGCGGAGACAGCTTCTCGCCACGCCACTTGGTAGGAGCGACCGGTCAGGTAGGACGCAATCCAGGAGTGAGCCGCGCCGGAGATGCCCAGCTCGGAGAGGGTGGAGAGGAGGATCTGATGGTTCACTGTATCAAAGGCAGCAGACAGGTCTAGAAGGACAAGAGCAGAGGAGAGAGAGTTAGCTTTAGCAGTGCGGAGAGCCTCCATGACACAGAGAAGAGCAGTCTCAGTTGAATGACCAGTCCTGAAACCTGACTGGTTTGGATCAAGAAGGTCATTCTGAGAGAGATAGCAAGAGAGTTGGCTAAAGACGGCACGCTCAATAGTTTTGGAAAGAAAAGAAAGAAGGGATACTGGTCTGTAGTTGTTGACATCAGTGGGATCGAGTGTTGGTTTTTTGAGAAGGGGTGCAACTCTCGCTCTCTTGAAGACGGAAGGGACATGGCCAGCGGTCAAGGATGAGTTGATCAGCGAGGTGAGGTAGGGGAGAAGGTCACCGGAGATGGTCTGGAGAAGAGAGGAGGGGATGGGGTCAAGCGGGCAGGTTGTTGGGCGGCCTGCAGTCACTAGTCGCAAGATTTTATCTGGAGAGAGAGGGGAGAAAGAAGTCAAAGCATAGGGTAGGGCAGTGTGAGCAGGACCAGCAGTGTCATTAGACTTAACAAACGAGGATCGGATGTCGTCAACCTTCTTTTCAAAGTGGTTGACAAAGTCATCCACAGAGAGGGAGGAGGGAGGAGGGGGGGGGGGGGATTCAGCAGTGAGGAGAATGTGGCAAAGAGCTTCCTAGGGTTAGAGGCAGATGCTTGGAATTTAGAGTGGTAGAAAGTGGCCTTAGCAGCAGAAACAGATGAAGAAAATGTAGAGAGGAGGGAGTGAAAAGATGCCAGGTCGGCAGGGAGTTTAGTTTTCTTCCATTTCCGCTCAGCTGCCCGGAGCTCTGTTCTGTGAGCTCGCAATGAGTCATCAAGCCACAGAGCTGGAGGGGAGGACCGAGCCGGCCGGGAGGATAGGGGACACAGGGAGTCAAAGGATGCAGAAAGGGAGGAGAGGACGGTTGAGGAGGCAGAATCAGGAGATTGGAGGGAGAAGGATTGAGCAGAGGGAAGAGATGATAGGATGGAAGAGGAGAGAGAGAGCGAAGGTTGCGGCGGCGCGTTACCATCTGTGTAGGGGCAGAGTGAGTAGTGTTGGAGGAGAGCGAGAGAGAAAAGGATACAAAGTAGTGGTCGGAGACATGGAGGGGAGTTGCAGTGAGATTAGTAGAAGAGCAACATCTAGTAAAGATGAAGTCAAGCGTATTGCCTGCCTTGTGAGAGGGTGAGGTCAAAAGAGGAGAGGAGTGGAAAGAAGGAGGCAGAGAGAAATGAGTCAAATGTAGACGTGGGGAGGTTGAAATCCCCCAAGACTGTGAAGGGTGAGCCATCCTCAGGAAAGGAACTTATCAAGGCGTCAAGCTCATTGATGAACTCTCCAAGGGAACCTGGAGGGCGATAGATGACAAGGATATTAAGCTTAAATGGGCTAGTGACTGTGACAGCGTGGAATTCAAATGAGGAGATAGACAGATGGGTTAGGGGAAAAATTGAGAATGACCACTTGGGAGAGATGAGGATTCCTGTGCCACCACCCCTCTGACCAGATGCTCTCGGGGTATGAGAGGTCACATGGTCAGACGAGGAGAGAGCAGTAGGAGTAGCAGTGTTTTCAGTGGTAATCCATGTTTCCGTCAGTGCCAGGAAGTCGAGGGACTGGAGGGTGGCATAGGCTGGGATGAAGTCAGCCTTGTTGGCGGCAGAACGGCAGTTCCAGAGGCTGCCTGAGACCTGGAACTCCAGGTGTGTGGTGCGTGCAGGGACCACCAGGTTAGAGAGGCAGCAGCAGCTGTGATTTTGTAGCCTGTCGGATAGGAGAAACAGGGTCAGACATAGTTATGCAGCTGCTACATTGAGAGGAGATCGGATACATGAACTAACATCAGTCCCTCAGTATATTATATATAACACCGTTCACCTCAGAAACATAATGTTTCATGACACAGTAAAACCTCCCAACTTCCCTTTAGATAGATTTTGTTTCTACAGCCTGTTATCAGTAGCTGTATTAGTAAGCTACCCAATATGCCTATTGTGTCTGTCTCTCTCTATATCAGCTCTGCCACCTCCCTCAGTTATCACCGATAGCATCACAGAAGACTCGATGAGCCTGTCTTTCAGCTTTAACTCCCAATATGAGGTCAGTTGGTGGCGTCTCTGTGTGAGTAAGTGCTTGTCTATGTATTCTAACTTGTCATATAATTATACCGTTGTTCCGTGGGTGTGTGCAGGTGAGGCAGTATATGGTGGTGCTGTCCTGGGTGTTTGATGCTCACGTGAAGGAGAGTAGGAACTACACCGTGCGAGGCAGCATACTGAAAGGTACGCACCTTTCTGCCACTAGTGTCCACACATATTCTGACAATAAAATAAGTGTTTTTCAAACACATAACTTCGTCATATACACACACTTCTGTGTTTTACATATCCTAATCCAACTCTGTCTGTCTGTCTGTCTCTGTATCTACCTGTACACTTGAAGCTGCCAACCTGACCACGGGGACCATCTACGAGGTGGCTGTGTGGGCCCACACCAGTGTAGGAGACAGCCCCACAGCCCTGTCCCGCCAGCAGACCAAAGGCACCCAGCCGGAGCCTCCCCTCCTCAAGGCCCGGGCCCTCAACCAGAGCTCTGTGGACTGCAGCTGGACTGTAACCGGCTCCCCTGCACAGGTAACACAGACACAGTATGACAGCTACTGTATTACAGACATGGGTCATGTTCATTAGGTCACGCAACAGAAAACATCATTCAATGTTTTTTGACCGAAAACGAAAATGAGCGTTTCTTATTGGACAAGTTCAGGTTGTCCCTATTCTAGTCTGTTTTCTTCTATTTGGTGCCTAATGAACATGACCCTGGGTTTAAGTAATATCTGTAGTATACTTTGAAATGCTTCAAGCATTTGATTGAGCCTCTCGAGTGCCTGATGGGTGGGGTTTGCACTATTCCATTGGTTCCATTACGCCAGGCAAACTCAATTAAGTGAGTTCCCACAAGCAAAATATAATATGGAATTTCATAGATGAGTCATAATTGATTGGATTTATAAAGCGCTTTTCCAGATGCTCAAAGCTCTTTACATAGTAAGGGGGAACTCGCCTCATCCACCGCTAATGTGAAGCACCCAGCTGGAGTAGTGTGGCTCCCTGTGCAGCTAGTGATGTACTGTGTGGTGGTTGTTGTGTCTGCCTGTACAGGTGTATGGCATCTTCTTTGCCACCTCCTTCTTGGACCTGTACCGCAGCCCTCGCAGTGTGAACACCAGCGCTAGCAGCCGGAACGTCACTGTGGACAGTGATGAGCAGTACCTGTTCCTCGTGAGTTCACCCCCTATTCCTCTTAACCCTGATTCCTCTCTCATTGCCTCAGATACAGAATCAGAAAACTTTATTGACATGCAACACGATTGGCTAGGTATTTTTCTTTGTTGCCCCAGATTCCATTTTGGTCTTAACGGTACTGAACTGTAAAATTATCGACTGCAGAAAATCCACTCACAGTTAACCTATGTGTACATTTTGGTTTCTAAAGAACAATATCTCAATGTGTTTGTGCGTGTGTGTGTGTGCTTGTGCGTGTGTGTGTGTGTGTGTGCTTGTGCTTGTGCACGTGTGTGTGACAGGTGCGGGCCATCTCTCCCTACCTGGGCCCTCCCTCGGAGTCTGCGGTAGTTAAGATGATTCCCAACGAACGGCTGCCTCCTCGTAACCTGCACAAGGTGCGCGTTGAGAAGACCCAGGCTACGTTGAAGTGGCAGCCTCCCTACGACTCCCCCAGCACTCCTCTGGTACGGCCAACCTCAAGCGTCAGCTCTTTCCGATTCATTTTGTCTGGTTCTTTGGTTAAAGTGAGAACTTTTTTGAAGTAAGTAGAAGCTTAAACTTAAAAACAGACCCAAAGTGTGGATTGCAGTCTCTCCTTGTCCATAGACTTCTTTCAGTGTAAGGAAACTTTATTGTTTGAAAATGTAATTTAATATAGCCTCTCAATCTGACCGCTAGGGCCTTGAACAACAACAAGATGTATAGTATACCTAGGCTACTGATATACAGTGCCTACGGAAAATATTCAGACCTCTTGACTTTTTAAACATATGTTAGGTTACAGTCTTATTCTAAAATTGATTAAATAGATTTTTCCCATCATCAATCTACATACAATACCCCATAATGACAAAGCAAAAACAGGTTTTTAGAAATTTTAGCAAATGTACTAAACATTTATAACTGAAATATCAAATTTACATAAGTATTGTTGAAGCACCTTTGGCAGCGATTACAGCCTTGAGTCTTCTTGGGTATGATGCTACAAGCTTGGCACACCTGTATTTGGGGAGTTTCTCCCATTCTTCTCTGCAGATCCTCTCAAGCTCTGTCAGGTTGGATGGGGAGCGTTGCTGCACAGCTATTTTCAGGTCTCTCCAGAGATGTTAGATCGGGTTCAAGTACGGGCTATGGCTGAGCCACTCAAGGACATTCAGAGACTTGTCCCGAATCCACTCTTGCGTTGTCTTGGCTGTGTGCTTAGGGTCGTTGTCCTGTTGGAAGGTGAATCTTCGCCCCAGTCTGAGGTCCTGAGCGCTCTGGCGCAGGTTTTCATCAAGGATCTCTCTGTACTTTGCTCCATTCATTTTTGCCTCGATCCTGACTAGTCTACCAGTCCCTGCCGCTGAAGAACATCCCCACAGCATGATGCTACCACCACCATGCTTTCACCGTAGATTTGGTGGCAGGTTTCCTCCAGACGTGACGCTTAGCATCTAGGCCAAATAGTTAATTATTGGTTTCATCAGACCAGAGAATCTTGTTTCTCATGGTCTGAGAGTCATTAATTGCCTTTTGGCAAACTCCAAGCGGCTATCATGTGCCTTTTACTGAGGAGTGGCTTCCGTCTGGCCACTCTACCATAAAGGCCTGATTTCTGGAGTGCTGCAGAGATGGTTGTCCTTCTGGAAGGTTCTCCCATCTCCACAGAGGAACTCTAGAGCTCTATCAGAGTGACAATTGGTTTGTTGGTCACCTCCCTGACCAAGGCCTTTCTCCCCCGATTGTTCAGTTTGGCCGGGCGGCCAGCTCTAGAAAGAGTCTTGGTGGTTCTAAACTTATTCCATTTAAGAATGGAGGCCACTGTGTTCTTGGGGACCTTCAATGCTGCAGAAATGTTTGGTACTTTTCCCCAGATATGTGCCTCGACACAATCCTGTCTCGGAGCTCTACGGACAATTCCTTCGACCTCATGGCTTGGTTTTTGCTCTGACATGCACTGTCAACTGTGGGACCTTATATAGACAGGTGTGTGTGCCTTCCAAATCATGTCCAATCAATTGAATTTACCACAGACGGACTCCAATCAAGTTGTAGAAACATCTCAAGGATGATCAATGGAAACAGGATGCACCTGAACTCAATTTTGTGTCTCATAGCAAAGGGTCTGAATACTTATGTAAATAAGGTATTTCTGATTTCTAAAAACCTGTTTTCGCTTTGTTATTATGGGGTAATGTGTGTAGATTGCTAAGGATTGTACATTTTTTAAATCCATTTTAGAATAAGGCTGTAACATAACAAAATGTGTAAAAAGTCAAGGGGTCTGAATACTTTCCGAAGCCACTGAACAAAAATATAAACGCAACATGCAAAAATTTCATAGATCTTTCTGAGTTGCAGTTCATATGAGGAAATTAGTCAATTTAAATAAATAAATTAGGCCCTAATCTATGGATTTCACATAACTGGGAATACAGGCATCTGTAGGTCACAGATACCTTAAAAAAATGGGCCTCACAATGGCCCTCGGGATCTGGTCACGGTATTATTGTGCATTCAAATTGCCATCGATAAAACGCAATTGTGTTTGTTTTCAGTAGCTTATGCCTGCCCATACCATAACCCCACCGCCACCATGGGGCACTCTGTTCACAACGTTGACATCAGCAAACAGCTCGCCCACATGATTCCATACACGTGGTCTGCGGTTGTGAGGCCGGTTGGACGTACTGCCAAATTCTCTAAAACGACGTGTAGAGAAATTGTAGAGAAGTTAACATTCAATTCTCTGGCAACAGCTCAGGTGGACATTCCTGACGTCAGCATGCCAATTGCACGCTCCCTCAAAACTTGAGTCAATCAATCAATCAAATGTATTTATCAAGCCCTTTTTACATCAGCAGATGTCACAAAGTGCTATACAGAAACCTGTGTCATGAGTTATCTGTGGCATTGTGTTGTGTGACAAAACTGCACATTTTAGAGTGGCCTTTTATTGTCCCCAGCATAAGGTGCACCTGTGTAATGATCATGCTGTTTAATCAGCTTCTTGATATGCCACACCTGTCAGGTGGATGGATTATCTTGGCAAAGGAGAAATGCTCACTAACAGGGATGTAAACAAATTTGTGCACAAAATTTGAGAGAAATAAGCATTTTGTGCATATGGAAAATTTCGGGGATCTTTTATTTCAGCTCATGAAACATGGAACCAACACTTTACATGTTGTGTTTATATTGTGGTTCAGTGTAGTACCATGAACAGTTGTCCCACACAAGGGCGCCTGTAGACCTAACCATCAACTTGTGTGTCCATGGTTGGGTCTCAAATGACACCCTATTCCCTTTTAAATGCACTACTTTTGACTAGGGCTCTGGTTATTAGGGTGCCATTTTGGATGCAACCACGTCTGTTGTTTATTGTTCTTCTGTTGTATTATATTACTGTAAACTGTGTTGAGATTGTTAAATGCACTTTCAATAAAGTTTGATTTGGATGTGTCTGTCCCGTGCAGACGTACGCGGTGCACCTGAAGGACGTGGTGCGTAAGACGGAGAGCAGCTACAAGCTGACCACCCAGAACAACACGGTGGAGTACTGCCTCAAGGGCCTGGAGCCCGGCGGACGCTACAGCGTCACCGTCCGCCTGCGCAACATGAGCAAGGAGGCCAGCTACACGCTCAACACAAGTATGGCCCAGCTTATGTCCCGGGGACGGGCGCGTTCCAGGTCATCTTTATTACAGCCGACGATCAGCAGTTTTCTTTCCCACGATGCCTGGGGAAGAGTTACAACATCTCAGGGGCCATGTTAATGTGATGTAGCGATCTTCTGGCGTGTGCAGCCCGACTGCAATATAGATAGATGACCTGGAACGCGCCCACAACCTGTTATATAGTGGCTGGGGACTAGTCAGGGTTTCTGGAATATTAAAGGAGTTAAAGCTAGAGCACCAACAGATCTGAGGAGACCACATTCAAAACCCGGTGGGGATTGTTCAAACATTAACATAATTGTATGAATGTATGTTGTTAAAGTGTTTTCCTTCTTCTCTGTGTGGACATAGTGCCCCTGCCTGCTCCAGAGGCTCTGAAGATCCTGACGGAGAAAGACCATGTGTTCCTCTTCTGGAAGAGTTTGGTCGTGAAGGAGAGGAGCTTCAATGAGAGCAGGGTGAGGGACACACACACACACACACAGTTGTCTCTCTCTGTGATGACAGATCTACCCCCCTGTCTTTTATTTCCTCTGATATTCACCATCAATGTCTGTCTGTCTCTGTCTGTCTTTCTCTGTCTGTCTGCACGTTTGTGCACATCCGTGCTCGGTGTCTCTCCGCAGGGCTACGAGGTGCACGTGTACGACAGCCTGTCCAACTCCACCGTGCTCCTGGGTAACACCACGGAGACCTTCTTCCGGATCAGCAGCCTGCTGGCGGGCCACAACTACACCTTCTCCGTCCAGGCCCGCTGCCTGCTCAACGGACAGCTGTGTGGCGAGCCCGCTCTGCTGCTCTATGACCAGCTGGGACAAGGTGAGAGGGGGAGGGGACACTGGGGAGGATGGGAAGTTACGGGACAGAACATGCATAAATCCTAAACGTCGGTTTCAGTAACAATGTGTGGTGACATTCATACAATTGATGGATATGATGATCGTTTTCCATGTTAATCTACCTTCATTCATCAACTTTGTGAGATAAAAGTATATAAAGAATCTCTCATAATGGCACCCTCCCGCCTCTGCCCCCCCCCCCCCCCCCCCCTCCTGCAGGTCCCAGTGACGCGGTGCGGAGCTCGGGTCAGTCAAGGGACATGGCGGTAGTGGTGGTGCCGGTGCTGTTCCTGCTGCTGCTGGGGCTGTGTGGGGGCCTGGTGGTCCTGTACCTGAGGCACCGCCGCCTGCAGAACAACTTCACCGCCTTCGCCAACAGCCACTACAACTCCCGCCTGGGCTCGGCCATCTTCTCCTCAGGGGACGAGCTGGGTAAGACTCCTTGGTTTAGTTCTATATCGAAGTAGCCCCATACATCCGTAATTGCGGTGCTCCCTTGTTTTGTGCTCCTTTGCAGGACGCTTGATGTTACTGTTGACTGTGCCTGCGTGTGATGGCTGCTATGGAGCCTAATGTTATCAGTCTACACTGTTGAACTTGAACCACGTTGTCTTTATTTGTGAATTAACACCCATAGAGTATCCCTCTCTACGTCCATCTGATTGGCACGGCTTTTGGTCAATACTTTCTAGGGCCCGGAGTTTCTCCTGACCGTGTGACCTGACCAGAAAAACTATGGGCCCCAGTTAAAGGCTGTGCTGCTAGGGACTATAGTTTGTCCTTGTCGGGTCCCATCGTCCGGAGAAACTCCTGGCCCCACTCATTTCTCATGGGTATGACCAGGATCATAAACCACATTTTTCCATGATCCGTTCTGATGCAACTATCATGTCATTCTTCCATTTCCTGCTTAAAGGTGACGATGAGGAAGACGCCCCCATGATCAGCGGCTTCTCAGACGACGTTCCCATGGTGATTGCGTAGCAGGACCACCCCTTCACTTCTTCTCCTCCCTATCACTCTACTACCACACTCTGCCCTGCCTGTCCCAACCTGTCACCTACGCGCCGGTGCCCACGTGGTACGACAAGAAAGAAGGTGCGCCAACACTTTCGTCAACCAACCCCCTCCGAGAAAAAAGTCTTATACGATTCAGGATCAATGGAAGAAAAAGTGAAACGACAGATATTTTTTAAAATAAAAATACGATGCACTTTTTTGGGATGTGCAAGAACTTATTTTTTTATACATAATATATATATATATATATATATCGGTCAAAGGACTTTGTTGGGCGAGAACTGATGCTAACTGCGAAGGATTATGAGTTTGTCAGCGAGTGCGTGTTAGAGTCGCCCGGAAAATATACTCTTTTGAATTACAAACTCACTCCATAAAGAGCAGTTTATTGCTTGAAGCCAAAATAAGCACCTAGCGACTGGAATATCCAATGCAGAAAAAACACACATAATACTGTATATGTAAAAAGAAAATTTTACCAATTAATGCTTCATAAAGGGAGTGAGGAACACAAGCTCTTGACACAGCATAAATTAACACATTAACAAGTATTTATGGTATTTATTCATCATTTGTGTCACTTTAAAGAGTGTACTATTTGCCCATGGTACGTTGTTTACAGTGTCCATACTGAAATCGATCTGAATATGTCGCTGTCTGTTCAAATGATATCACTTTAATCTGTTGATATTTGATTTGAAACTGTCCCATTGGCGTGAACACAACAATTGGCGTCTGAGTAACCAACCAATGAGTAGCGATTAGATGAAATCGATGGCACCATGCAGTGTCTTATAGATCCATGTTCCTGCTACAGTGGGCTGTAGTCAACTCAGCAGTAACAATAGTACCGAAGTTGTTCACATTTAGCATGTTATTAACTCCAAAATGTCAGCTCGATCATTCTGTTGTGTTTCTCTACTCGCAATGCTGCATCAATAGGAAAATAGTGTGATTTTAATTGGTTTTATCAGGACCACCACGGTGTAAATATTATTGTTATTCAAATATTATTATGCCCAATCTGCTGCCGTTAGTTTGTAGTGCTCTGATGTTCTCAGGGAACTGGGTCTTTATCTGGTCTGACACTGGCGTGGGACCATCATCTGAGTCTTTAGCCAATACTCGGAACCCTCACTGAGGTACTATAGGAACCCTAGGGGCAACATTTGGAGCATGATGTTGTAATGACGTCATTTTATGGTTGTAAACTGGTTTTCTGGTTGAGAAGAAGTTATACAACCAGATTACAAGGAACTGGTCTCTGTTACAACAAGACAAATATGTATTTTTCATGACGAGAGCAAGATGTCATGGGAAGGACGTCATATTTTGGTTGTTATCTGGTCACATAACCAGATTATTGCATTTTGTGGTTGCTGTTAGTTTTTTTTGTTACAAAAAATTTATACATCTAATCTACAATCTGATCATAATGTCATTAAAGACATCATAATGACGTCATTGAAACCACCCTTGCTTGCTGGAATAGCAGTATGATGTTTAGGTCACAGTGAGGTGGACTGTGTGTCCAGCTCTCTCACTGAGTAGCCAAACGCTTCACGTCAGTATGATGTGCCAAGCTTAAGAAGAGGAAGAAAAAATGTTATTTTTCTCTTCCCCTATTGTGTAGTAATGAACTGAAAGGTGTATTTCCGTCTATGCTAAAGAGCCATTTCAATATATTTGAGGTATGATGCTTTTATTCATTGACCTGTTTTTTGGTTTATTTGTATATTAGTTCATGAATGTATTTTATATCTGTGATTTTATGGCTTTGAGGCGATGTGGAAACTGGTCATGTCACTAGTCCCCCCCTCTCCCTCCCACCCCTCGTGTGAAATGGATACACTCGCAGTCCTCTCACTTTGTAAAGCCAAGAACTCTACTTTGATGGTTCACCCCTATACTCTTGGAAGAGATACCTGAAAATGGGCCTTGGTAGTGTCTGACTGTAGACTGGTTCAGGGCAGGCATGGCGCCCCCAGGCACCAAGACCACGTTCCCACCCCCATCCCCCTATCCCACGTCACAGCAGCCCCCCCATCGCACTCTCTGCCCCCGGTCACTGCAGGGCCGCTTTCACTACATTGTTTTGACATTCTTCTCCATAAAGTACTTGTGATTTTATTTCCCCCTTTTCCATTTTCCAGGGCTTAAATAGTGCTGTAAAGATACTGATGGTACTGTTTCTTTTCTGTGGACTTCGATTTGCCACATATGCCTTATTAGAACACATTGCGTTTGTATGTATGTACTGTATTTATGACGACACAAGTGCACACACACACTCACACACACACTCACAATACCCTTACGCAATGCTAAAGAGAATGATCTGTACTGAAGAGAGCAGTAGAAGTTGTTTGTTATTGTTATATACAGGTCACTGCACCTGTCTGCATTGTCTGTTTAAACAAGACACATATCTAAAGCCACCTGATGATTTTATTTCATGTAGTCCAAGTTTGACAGTTGTACAAAATATAATTCTTGATTATTGTGTGACCGTTTCAATCCCCCACCCCCTCCAAATGTAGACTTTTTTTTCTCTTCTGTAAAATAGTATGCTTAAAAAAGTTTTTGCACAGAATATAATGATATTGGACACGCCATATTTTAATATGTTGATCTTGCTTGCTTATGGGGGTCACAAGGAAGTGAGATGTTTGAGGTACAGTGTGAAGTGTTTTAAAAACCACTTATACTGAAATAAAACTTACTGGAAATGTGCCGAAGCCTTATTTTCCTCTTCTGGATGGATGGATGGATGGATGGATGGACAAAAACAACAACACTGAAAATCTCTGCTTTCTGAAATTGTAATTGAATTATTTTTTGTTTACTTCACGGTCTTTAGTCAATGACCTTCCAACTTCCAAATGCTGTTGACAGAAATAAACAAATCCCCCATCGATCACGCACAGAGTCTCCTCAAAGGCCCATAACAAAGCAAAGGCAAACTCATAGCCTTGGTTAACCACAAAATGCTATGAGTAAGTCCTTCAGTATTTGGCAGCGTGAGACAGGAAGGAATGCATGGAGACAGTGAGGTGTAGTGTGTCTGTGTAGAGGCTCTAGAGTACGGACGTCCTGGAGATGAACTGGGATCAGTCCTTAATTAGGCCACTCTAACTGTGGTTTTTGACTCGCGTCTCCTCTTAGCACCCAGAACATTCTGGGGCCGAAATCTCCTGGTCTTTTCATCCTCCCTCCTTCCTCCAGTCATGCAGAACGGCCACAGCTCCACTGACGCTCATAGGCTTTTATGACTGTTGAGTGAAGGGCATTGTCCACGCTCTCAGGGGAACTTCTGAGAAAGAGACAGAGGGGTAGAAACAAACAGTGAGGTCATTACAGCTTTAATGCAGGCTGCACAATTCCCCAGACAGCTCTATGATTAAGTAGAGAGGCAGGTGCGCTTCTCAAGCTAGGTGCCTTGAAGGCACAAAGTACAGTAATCAATGGAATAGACATCCATAAAATAAAACGGAACAACACGATAACAGAGCAAAAGAGAGTAATGTCTTTGTGTTTTTAATCAAAGTTTTGAAGTGCCACCTTTAATCAAGTGTACAGATTTATTTTGGGGGGGGAAATAATTGCATACTTAAAAAGTGCAGTTTATTTTATCAAGGTCATTAGCAAGAGGCTCTTTACACTTCTAAACTCTATGTCTTCAGTATATCAACAGCAGTAAGACTTAAAGACACACTATGGAAGTTGAATTGCTCTCTGATTCAGAGGGGTTGGGTTAAATGCGGAAGACACATTTCGGTTGAATGCATTCAGTTGACTAGGTATCCCCTTTCCCTAATTGTTTGTTAAATTTTGACTTGAATGTTGGCTGTATGGTCCATATACAGCACATTATCACATACATAATATTTATCATAAAAAGGTGTGTTCCTTTCTGTCCAATGTCTATATATTTTTGTCCACTTAGGGGACCCCTTTTGGCTCGAGCAATCTTTCTCATTCCTTTGCGCCAGCTCTGTTTTGTGTTTCACCTGAAAAGAACCCCCTGACATTGCCAAAATAAATGCTCCCAAACATAGTTAATAATCTTGAACTTCAAACACGACTTCAAACAACACTGTTATAGTACAGGGCATTAAATCCTGACAGGGACATTATCATATATTGCCCAAAGAGTAACCAACTGGGCTGTCTCCCTCAACAAAAATACCCTGTCGGGAACCGCTATTAGACAGAGAGACAGAGAGCAGTGACACCACGGAGTGTCAGGTTTTCTCTGACGCTGTGATGCATTTAGCCCCCACTGTTGTTCAGAAAACACATACCTGCAGTCAGAATGGCTCCTCCCACTCAACTGTTCACAGTAACTGTGCCACCATGCCAGTGATGCTCTTGTCCTTGGCTTTTTTTGTTTGCCTTTTCAGAGTAGAGGGTGCCAATTGGCATCCAGACAAGCTCTTCTTCCTTTGTCGAATAACTTCGTCATTCTCAAGGCTACCACTAGAGGTCTCACGTGTTTGGTTTCAGTGCTGTCAGAGAAAGACCTGCTTGTTGAAGAAGTTATTTTCAAGTTAATAAGTTATTAATCTCTTTCCAAATTACAATCATGGTTTTATGTGAGTACCGGATCTCAATGCACTGAGATAAAACTACATTGTTCAAGATTTGAGACCATCAGTTATAGATTTTGTATGGAATATTCCACATCATGGTATCACTATCGACCTTTGCAGACAACAATGATCGCTAAACAGGGCTTAAGAAATGATCCCAAACTTAAGCTGCCAGGCCCTGCCCCTCCCTTCAACTGGTGTAATTTCATGTCAGTCACATATTTGTCTCTCCCTCCCACTCCCCCCTATACAAGGGCCAGTTGTTATGTTGGTGACATGTCAGTGCATCGGAGGGAGCAGCGTTGAGGTTGGTGCCTCTTATCAGCCCCAGCAGAGGCAACAGTGGGCTCCAGTGTGTACTGCAGCCAGGAAACAGCCCGGGCCCTGGGAGGACGATGAGCAGATGCTGGGGAGGAGGGGGTTTGGAGGTGGGGGGTGAGAGTCTGGATAAACAGCCTACACTGTCATGGCCAAGCAGCGTTCACCGTACACAGCACACACTGGACAGTGCAAAACACACACATTTATGATTTTTAAACCAATAGGTTACCCAGTTCACAAATGTGTGCATGTCACAGTTACGGATGGAAATCTTCAGATTAACAATCGTTATCCCCATATATAGTCATTTTCCGGCACCATGGTTCTGAGACTCCTACATTGCTTCTGGTAAGTACTCAAACAACCCTGTTACATAGTCCTGTAGCATACGGTACCCCTCTGGTGGGCCTCAGGTTGCTAAGGATTCCCACTGGCCAGAGATTTGGGAGGAGGAAACTTGAACAAGTGTATATTTCTCAGCCTGGAATCTCCTCCAGAAGAGGGCATGCTTGATATAACACCATCTGTGTTGGCTCCTCAACAAGCCATTTAT